ATTCTGCTACATACGCTGTCTTCATATTTGTACCTGGGAAACGATGTTTCAAATTTCTGAAGCTATATCTCTTTTTTGCATTGCCACACTCGACATGCAGTTTTTTATTCTATTCCTTGCTTTTAGTGATCTCTCAGCCTCAGCGTCTCTAAGCCATGCGAACCAATCGATGCATCCGCATTCTGTCTTCCTGCTTCGGCTGTCGGCCCATGCCGCTGTCCTGTTTCGCCAGCACCAAGGAATCCACCTCAACACGCTTCTTTTACTGCCTAATTCTCTTCCTGGTGTCCCTGTTGGCCGTCATCTTTCACAGCAGTGGAGAAAACGCCTCCCATCTGTTGCGTTTCGTGAGTCCTCCTTCTCCTGCCTAGTTTGAATCATTAACACAACTTTCTTGTGCGCGCTGACACTGATCATAAATATAATCAACACCACCATCATCATCATCATCCTCACCATCATCATCCTCAGCATCATCATCATCATCATCATCATCATCATCATCATCATCATCATCATCATCGATCATCATCATCATCATCATCATCATCATCATCATCATCATCATCATCATTAACCATCATCATCATCATCATCATCATCATCATCATCATCATCATCATCATTATCGTCATCATAAATATAATCAACACCACCATCATCATCATCATCCTCACCATCATCATCCTCAGCATCATCATCATCATCATCATCATCATCATCATCATCATCATCATCATCATCGTGACTGAGCTGCACGTCCTTCCATCACAATGCCACGAGTTTCCGAGGGCAGGGTTTCGTTGAAAGCTTGACTGCACTTCAAAAACATACTTTCACGTCGCAGTGTATCCTCAGAGTTGCACAACGTTAGTCTTCGCTGAAACTGCCTAGCAACTTCAAGGAGGGTTGGTTCAGAGCGCTCAGGGCTGGAGTTTGCGATAAAGGGCTCCTGTTACAGTTTTTAAGACCTAGTTTGCTTTTAGGCTGCCTGTCTGGGCAAAATTTGCCGGAGCAACTGCTTTTTGCAAATGGCAGGAAATGCAAATTTCAAGAAGCTTAAGAGGCTGTTTGGAAGGGATCATTTATGTAGCAGGTGATCCAACTTATGATCGAAATTGGAGCCGGCAGTTTAGCGTACATTTGGTCCCATTATTTTGGCCTCATAAGTGGACTTGATTCTGCGGAAGCGTTTAATACGGAACGTCACCTGTTTAGTTTAGTTTCTTTAAAGGCAACAGGTAGAACTTTGGCGAAATCAAAGGTAGTTAGTATGACAGCACCGAACCTTCTATTTTTATGCGTTGTGCGGAAAGTGAACT